AAGCCAAATGCACCCTCGCCTGGCCGCAATTTCGTCAACTGGTTCTTGGCGCCCTTCGCCATGTCAATGTAAAACTGCTTCTCGTCCCGATCGAGCGCGTTGTAGTCGACGGCCAGCTGCGACAAGTCGCATCTCCCTGTTGTCCCGAAAGTGCGGTGGCGAACGTAAGCATGCCAAGGGCCAGAATACCCGCGATCTCTCAGTGCACTGCCGTCACCGTCGGGCTCGGCGGACCCGTCGCACATGCCGACGGCAGACATCTTGCCCAGCGTCGCAACTACATCATGGTGGGCAACGCGGGCATGCACGCGATCGCAAACAGCTTCGGCGTTGACCTCGGCGAAAGCCTGTCCAGTACATTGAACTCCTCGCATGAGTAGGCACCTCCGCAGCGACGCGTGCCAGCATTCAATCTTCGCCATGTGGCGCCTGGCGACCCTGCACTGGAATCGCAAAGCCGCCTGCGCCTGTTCGCATCGCAACCCTCCTGGCTCATCGGCGAACTTCTCTACGAACCTCTTGCTCCATGGGTCGTGCAAGCACGGCGGCTTGCTCTTCGCGGCCTCAGCGTCTGCATCACTGAACAAACATCGGAACGTTGCAGCTGGTTCGACCTTATGCCGCAAACACGCCGTCCTTTCTGAAGTACACAGGCTCGCAGATAGCAGCTTAAAAGTGAACGCCCTGTACTCCAAAGTCTTGTCGGCGTCATCGACCAATACGTCCCAATGAGTAGCGGAGCGCATCATCGTATGGAGGTCGGTCAAGAAAGATGCAGCGGCCCCGTCCTTGACGGCCTCGAGCAACTCGAAGCTCCTCGCGGCTCTGGGGCGGCCCTGCGCCGATGGGGACAGAAGAGCGCGGGCCTGCGACGCGCGCTGGGCCGTCTCCCAATCCACGGAACCCTGGTCGAGAAGCTGGTCTAAGTACATCTCGTGGGCCAGAGCGACTTGTATAATGATCAGCGTTCTACTGGTAGGTTTCGACTGCGATAAAGCCAAGCCAATAGCAATGTCTTTGTTGTTTTCAGCTCTGAACGATCGCTCCTGCTCGGCCATGCTCGCTGAATCGCCGCCACCGCCCTGAAAGCCTCCAGGGGCGCAGCCGCCGAGCGCCGAGCCGCCGCCCTCCCCGCCGCCGCCGCCGTCCTCGATGGCCAGCGCAGGATCAACACCGCCGCCAGCTGCAGCAGCGCCGCCACCCTTCCCGATGATACGGTCGTTGATGGCCCGAGCCCGCTCAGCAAAACGCCGATACGCTGGGGCCCCGAGGCCGCAACAGGCAAATGGCAACACGAACTGGGACAACGCCTTGGCGATGCCCTTCCATTTAGACTTGACGTGCTTGGTGAACAACGTGCCAGCAAAAACCCGTTTCAAACTCCATGCAACTGCTGATGCAATCGCTCGCGGGTCGGCCCTGGTACCCAACGGAACGTACACCTCGACCTTCTGATGGTTGCGCCAATTGCCATTTGGCAGGGTCCTGCTTGCAAGGAGCATCTCGACCTGGTTCGGAACATTCTGCATGCAGATGCACGTGACGTAGTTGCGGTAAGCTCTGAACTCGTCTGGAGGCTCACCGTATCGCAGGTCAATGCGCTCGAACACAAGCTCCTCCAAAGCTTCGCCATACATCGTGAGACCAGTGCCGAAATTGATGCTCGATGCCCATCGCCTCTGAGACTTCATGAAATCGTCGCACACAAACATGGAGTCGTGGCAGTTGTTTACAGCAGCGTGGATGTCGCACTTAAAGTGTAACCGCTGCCAGTCGTCGCCGAAATCTGAAAGAAGGGCTCGTTCGCAACGATCGTTACTGCCAGCGCCGTCAGCACACGTGTTCCTTGTGTGCATTTGAAACTTCAAGTACCCTTCTGACTTTATGGATGCACGATGTCGCCAGGCCGTCCTCAAACACTCGCCAGTTGTGCGGTCAACCAGCTGGAGCGGGTTCACGCAGTGGCCAACGATCGTGATTGGCGAGCCAGCACTCCCCACGAAACGGTATGCGTAACACGATTCGGCCTGTAGGATCTTCGACATGGTCCGACGCGCCCGAGAAATACAACTGAGAGCCCTCTCCAGGTGGGACAAGAACAAATGGCTTCGCGACGCGACAGCCAGCGCTGTCTGTTGTGCTGAATTCTGAGCGGTGTGCCAAGCATGCCGAGTAACTGCCATTGGGGTCTCATCCTGCCTGTCAAACTCGATCATATCCAAAAGGCGATCTTTATCAACGAGCAGTGCCAATCGCGTCTCGAGAGTTGATCGAGCCAGCCGATCGGCGTACATGAGAATCTCAGCCAATGTGATAACTGAAGGGCCAATCCTACGAGCGTCCACGCCTAAAATATTGCTGAATGCCTGCTTTGTCAACACAATGCCGCTCCCACGATCAAAAAAATGATTGGCAACCTTGACGACAACTGAGTCGGCGTGCAAACCCGTGTCCAAGCGCGAAGATCGAGCAAGCATTTCCTGAATAGGCTGCGTCAAAGGCCACGAGCGGGGTCGACTCTGCGTCGGGAGCCGAGCGATCTCGACCACGTCGGCTGGGACCTGCTTCGACTCCCTCCGAAGCTGGATGGCCAGCGCGGCATCCTCTCGCACAGGATCTGCCTTGGCCGCCTTGGCCTCCCGAGCCCTCGCGGCGCCTCGGCGGACGTCGGGCTCAGCAGGCGCAGCCGCCTCGGGAAGCGCAACCGACGCCAAGGCCTCCCGCGCCGCAGCGCTCAGGCGGCGACGCTTCGCCACGCGCCGTGGCTCGGCGAGGCCCAGCTGCCCGAGCTCCGCAACGTCCGCGGCGAGCGCCCGCAAAGGCGACGGCCCCCCTGACGGCGCGGCGCCCTGGTCTGCGGAGGGGTCGCCGCCGTCGTCGCCGCCGAGCACGGCGGCGAGCTCCTCGGCCCAAGCGGCCGCGTCCTCCGCTCGGCTGTCCTCGCAGCCGCTGTCGGAGGACATCGACGGGGCCGACGGCCCGCCCGAAACCCTGACGCCAAAATGGCTCATCGCGAACGGATGGGAGGAGTGTGAGGACGGATGGCAGGTGGGAGTGATCAGCGCAAGCATATGAGACGTGACGGGACCTACCCATCATAAAAGAAGAACACGAAGGAGGAGGAGGGGGTGCAATGAATGGAACAAAGATAAAATGTGGAACAAATGAGAATGTCAATTGACGGCACATAGCAATTATGAGAAGCATGAATGTAATCTACCGCCCCCCTCTGACAAGGGAATGGAAGGCGCGCGGTATTGGGTTTATTGTTTTTGTTAGTGTTGCGTAGACCCCCGTGCTAGGACAGTGCGCATTTAAAGTAACATCAGATTGTGTCACACGTGTTCTGTTTGATCTAACCCTACCTACTCATTGGTGTTCTTTGGGGGTGCGCCAGTAACTTGAAGCGGGGCCTAAGGGGTCTCTCAACTCTCCTTTCAATGCCACGTTTCCAAAATCGAGACGCTGATATTGTAATTTGGGAGCGGGCGTGTCAGACTTACGGGGCGTCAATGATGAAATTCGGCTTCACGGTGTCATTGCCGAGGCTGTGAATTATTTTTAGATCATTTTTTCTAGGGACCTCCGAAGCGACACATGGACTCTTTCTAGACTCTTTAAGGCGGGCGCTTTAATTTTCTAGGCCCCCCAGCTCTAGGAGGCATCGTGGGACATAATCTGGCGCCAAGGATTCACCGCTCCCTCCCCCAACGATCTTTCGCCTCGCCACCTTTCTCCCTCCTCCCTTCCCTGACTACCTACCAGACCACCCCAACCCAACCCGAAGACCCGAATTTGACTCGCATTTCGGGTTGGGGAGGGTACGGGTTCCATGTGTTTTTTCAACGTTCCCCGACCCCCCCCCCACCGGAAATGGAGGGCAAATTGAGGCCTTCGGGTTGGGTTGGGGTGGATTGGTAGATGGTGATTCCCTCCTCCTTTCTCTTCCTATCCGCAGTCCGCCCTCACCTCCCTCTGCCTCCCGCCTCCCCTCCAGCGCCCTGGAACGCGCCCTTCCGCCCGGAAGAGCGAGACCGTGGAATTCGAGCAGCAGCCCTCTGCCCAAACAGAGCACAATGTCGGCCTCTTGATGGCTCTGACTCGAGCCGTCCTTGGGCCACCTTTGCGCTGCGCTTGTTGATCGCGGGCTCGGTCGCGGCATCGGCCCAGTCGGGCCGACGAGCAGCAAGCACAGCGCGATCATGCCGGCCGAGCCGACGGTGGGCGAGGACGCCGCGGCGAGCGCGCGCGGACCAGCAGGGCGGGGGAAGGCGAGCGAGGGAGGAGAAGAGCATACGTCGTTCGCGGCCACAGCGCGCATTACGCGCGGCGCGCGGCAGGGCGGCGGGGGGCGGCACGACGCAGCACGCAACGCCCCCCCATCACCCTTCCCCGCAGCGCGCCTAACACAGCACAACCACCACGCGCGCGCATGCACCGCGGCCTCGCAGCTGGCTTCCTCCCCCGCCTTCCCTCGCGTCCCAGCCCGACGAAGCCGACGACGCCGAAGCCGACGCCGATGGCGGCAACGACTCCTCCCCGGACTCTCCTGGTGTGCGCTCTGGCCAGAGCTTCGAGGGGGCGCCAGCCGTGGTCACCAGGGAAGCCCGCAGAGGCCCGAAACCGCCCCCAAACCTGTGATCTCGAGCCATCCTCGACCGTCGACGACGACGAGACATCAGACGTCTTGGTTTTTTCGATGCGGCCCCCTCCGAAATCCCGACCCTGTCACCAAGGCCCGATATCCATCCCGACTTGCTTTTTGCCAGGCCTGGAGCCCAAATGAGGGCCCCTGGAGGCAGTAAACTACTACCAGCTTCCGTCCTGATCGTTTCAATATGTGGGATGTCTGGGACCTTCGATCCTCGACCGTCGAGGCCGACGTCGATCACGACGACGACGCCGGAGACGACGCCGCCGACGCCGACGCGGCCGACGACGGCTGCGGCGGCGGCGGCGACTGCGCGGCGCGGCGAGGGGCGGCTCAGTCGGCGCGCCACCAGCAGACTCGGGGGCCCAGCCGGGGGGTCGGACATCCACGACGATCGGGGGGTTGTTCTCCTTCGGGGGAGGGGTGCGCGGCGTCGTCGGCACGTCGTGAGGGTTGTCTGTCGCGGCTGGAGTATTAGGGCACGGGAGGTCCCCTTCACCCCCAAACTCAACAACGGTGGATGAATGGGTGGCCCTGCCTCGTGACCTAAGCAGGGGGGTGACGGGGGCAGTCACTGGCTGTCATCCCCTCCTCACCCCGATGCCGATTGCGGATCCAAGCGCGATGCCTAGCTGCGCGGCAGTTCGGGGTAGGCGTGCCGGCTGGCACCGACGAGCTTGTCCACTGGCGCACTGTGCTGGAGGAGCTCCTGGAGGAGGGTTGCGGCCACTTCGATGACGACCCGTTGGCGGTAATCGACGTGGACCTGGATGTGCAGCAGTCGTTGGCTATCATCCCCTGCTCACCCCGATGCCCATTTCGGATCCGATCGAATCCGCGCTGGGGAGGACGAGGAGGGGAGGAGGAAGAGGGGGAGGGTACGAGAGGCAGAGGGGGGAAGGTCACCTTGGCACGCTCGCGCCAGATCTACGATCCCCTCCTCCTCCTCCTCCTCCTCCTCCTCCATTCCTCCTGCTCCTCCTCCTGCTCCTCCTCCTCCTCCTCCTCCTCCGCCTCCTACCCCCTCCCACCCATCCCTTCCCATTACACCGATTTAGTCTCTATGCGCGGGCGCGTGTCATAGTGGACCTGAAACTCCACAAAGCGACCCCGACGTGTCATGCGCAATCGGAACAGGATGCGACGGATGAACAGAGGCGAGCAGGAGGAGAATGATGAGAATGATGAAGGAGGGGAACAGGAGGTGGATGGAGGACATATAGAGAGTAGAGGGGAGGGCATATGGAGCGGGGGACGGGGAGGACAGAGGATGAGGTGAGGTTGAGGGGCGGAGGGCGAGAGGGGTGAGGGGAATGAGGAGGGGAACGAAGAAGAGGCGGAGGAGTGGCAAGAAGGGCGCAAGAGGTCTGACGACCTGGGCTGGGCAAAACTGAACGGCCACCCTCCACCGCGAGATGGTCCGTGAATGGTGGGCTGGGTGCACCAGCAACGGGAAATGACAATGTTGGCGTTCGGGCTCCCCGAACCTCCTGCCGCCCACTGCAGCAAGGCCCATCCTAAGAGCGCCATTCAATCCGATATCAGTCCTGAGCGGAGGGCATTCGCCACTCTGGAGGCACCGAGGACCGCCGAACCCGGAGCGGTGGCCATCTCCCCGAACGATCCTGGTGCATCGGCGCATTGGATACGCAAGCCCCGCATTAAAGGCGACATATGTGTGAAGCGACCTTCGCTCCGATCCTTCACACGAGAACTGCTCTTCAACCCTACGATGTGGCCAATGAATTCAATGCGCGCGCCGTCACGCGACACGCCAAGCCAGAAGTCATGACGTATAGAGAGCAGGTGCTTGGGACTGTGCCCAACTAGAACTAATTAATCGCACAAGTCGAGCCTCACTGCCAACACATCGGAGCCTCCAGCCGCGAACACCATGTGAACACAATTGAGCACTCTTGCTCTGTACGCGCGTGCCGTTGCTTACCCAACAATGGTCGGCCTGATATTTACTTTTTCTCCACACCTCACAGCATGCTCTGAGTCCTGGATTCTCGGTGATCGAATCTGGAAACTCAGCTTCCCGTACTCCGCGAAGAAGCATCACAAGCATTTTCCCGCGCACGATAGTGGGCATGCATTCTCCCAAAAGCGCTCGAATGATTCGCCTGGTAGCTCAAGCAAATAGCGCCGCTGGTGGCATCCACCCACGAAAACTGAATGTAATATTTGCAGGCGTGATCCCATCAACGGTACCATCGCCTATCCTGAGATGATGAAACCTGGGCTGGCGGCTGCTGGATCACGCGGCACCATGTTTGAGCCAAAGATTTGAACCAATATGACTGCGGACGTCGACGAGGACATTCTTGGTCTGAACTCGTCCGGGTATGTCTGGGTTCGCCGCAAAAGAGCACGCGAACAATCGATCGGGGCCACAGAATATAAACCTGCGCCTGGTGTAGCAACCCTGAGCGCCGAGCTCGCATCCATGACAACTGCGCTTTCAGGCTTCGCCAGTGCAGGGGCCAACCTACAAGTAAGGTCAAGCCATGCCCGTGAGCAGGGGACAATCACCTGAACAAGACGAGGACGGCTACTGCCGAGAAGGAGCGCACACGGGGACACCAGAACGCGGTGTTATCCCACTTCGCAAAGATGGATCATTCACGCATAGCCTGATGCCGCGATAAGACAATATCACATAAAACATCCGCCTGTGACCAAAGACCGCACTTGCCGTGCACACGTTGAGATGCTGTGTGCCTGTGAACGCAACATGCGTACCTATCTCCATAGCAAGAATGAGCAGGCGGGTGTAGGAGTGGGGAGTCGGCCAGTGAAACTATGTCGCCCGTAGCCAGCATGGAAGCCCTGAGAAAGAAAATATGCAGCCAGGACAGGGGTGAGAGTACAGCCGTTTGCATTTAGTGAAAATTAATACCAGGGGTCGTGGCCGTGTGGGCCAAGCATACAGCCGACATTGAGGCGAGAGCACGATTCCTGAATCAATCTCACCAGCTCCCTGGGCGTGAATGGACCGACGAGCTCGTTGTGCTAACTCCCTTCTTCCCCTTCGGGGAGGGGGGGGTCCCCTCCCCCTCCTCCCCCCGGGTCTGGATGGGGCGTTCCGCGAATGGTTGGAGTGTTCAAGATGGCCCAAGATGGCTTGAAGAGGGCCCCAGAATGGCTTCCGAGATCGTTCAAGACAGTCCTAGATGGTTCAATATCGCCCCAGGACCTCCAAGAACGCCCCAGGACGGCTCCAAGTGGAGCCTCCTGAAGAGGCCATCCGGGGGCGAAAATCCTTGCGACAACTATGGGACGTCCATGTTTCTGCCGCCTTTTTACATCGCTTCTGATGTGGTCTTGAGCTCCAAGATAACCCAAGACGGTCCCAAGACGGCTCCAACAGCGCCCAGGACCACCCAAAGAGCGCCCCAACAGGCCTTTGTGAGGGCTCCGGCGTCGGGAGCGTGGTTAGGACCTTCCCAATTTTGATCGATGGCCTCCAAGATGGCCCAAGGGCCCCAAGGCCACCCACAGGGCCCCAAAAGAGCCCCAAGAGGGCCCAAGAGGCCTCCAGGATGGCCCCGAGGGGCCTGACCAGGGCAATTCGATTGGCGTCTGTCGCTGGATGGACTGATGGGGATATTTTTTTGGTTCGCGGGCGCGCGAAACGAGTCGAACGCCGAGCGTGCTAGGGAGGGCCGCGCCAACTGATGGTGATACTTTTTCCGTCGCAGCCGCAGGCGAAGGCGCCGGCAGCGTCACAAGTCAGCTCGGGCTACGAGCAAACCTAATTAACCTAGCGCGCACAAGCAACAACTGAACTACCGCCGGGGGGCGTTGAATTGCGCCGGGGGCAGAACCCAGGGCTGCAAGAGCAGGAGGCTGAAACACTCTGGGCCTAGAACATCTTGGGCCAAAATGGCTACGGACCGCTGATGGGGATACTTTTTGATCGCGACCGCGAGCAGGCACCCGCGCGGCGTCGTAAGGTCGAGCGGAGAAGGAACAGTCCACTACGCCGAGCCAGCGCTAGAGTGACGAAAACGGGCAGGCGACGCACCACGGCGCCGCGAGCGAGGCAGGAGGGGGCGAAGAGAACGAAGAAGGCGAACGCGAGGGGAATAAAACGACGAAAGCAGAAGAGGAAAGACGAACGGAACGAGAAAGAGAAAGGCGCCGCCGCAACTAAGAGGTCAAGGACCCGGTAGGTGACCACCGTGGCCATGTAGTACTTCGTGTGCTTGTCGCGAGTGGGCGAACAGGTATCCAATACCTCTCCAGCCGCCATGCATCCATAGCCTCGGGCTGTCAAGACCAAGTAAGTGCGATGCTCAGATGCCAGTCTGCGACAACGGAAACCGTGCAATTAGAAACCGGAGCATCGTCCGTACCGTAGACCAGGTAGCTGCCCCCACGGTCGACTCCAGGGCCGACGCTGATAGGGATACTTGTTGCTCGCGAGCGACGCGGGCAGCTGCGTGCCGTCTAACAGTGCGTGAAAGTGCAGGCCAAGCGCAGGCAGCACGCGGAAAAGGGGGCCACAACGGTGGCGCAAACTACGCGGCGGAAGCGAAAGACCGAGAGACACACGATGAGAGCAAGAAAGGCGGAACGAAGCGAGAAAGACGGAAACCATAGGACAGACAGAAAGAGAAGGCAAACCGCGGCTCACGCTGAAACCGATTAGGAGACAAACGTCCCTTGTCGAACAGAAGGAACTTGTAGTAAGGCTGACTCAAGTGAAACCGCCGCCGGATCGCCGCCGAACTGGGCGTCCTCAGGCTCCCGTTTCCCCTGTGGGACTTTTCTGTGGGACTCTTCTGACCTCCTGTGGAAACCCATGTGCACCTTAGTGTATTTTTGTACCAGGGATCGTGACCTGTGGTAGCCAGCATTTAGGCGAGAACACGGTTCCTGATCAATCTCGGGCTCCCGTCCCCCATTTGGGACATTGCTTTGGTCCAGTTCTACCACTCGTAAAACCCTGTAGCAAAAGGCGCCGGATCAATGGTAAGAGCACGGCCATGTTCACCCGGGACATTTTTTACAAAGGATCATGGCCATACGGATCCAACATGCAGCTGGAATTAGGGCGAGAACGCGATTACATAATCAATCGTGAGGACGTGTCAGGCGAAGCGGCTGCCAGAACAAGCAACCTAGGGCTCCCCGTCTCCTCTGTGGGTATCTCTGGTGGTCCTTTTTAACAACTCTGCCATCCTTCTTGCGAAACTCTATTGGGGGAGAAAGCATTCGATTGCAAGCGCTGGTGCTACGAATAATTCCGTCCGATTGTATGGCGTTCGCAAGAGGTACGAGACCTATGTTGCTTCACATCAGCAATTTGGCCCCTGCTGACTTTTTTCAAAATAATTGATTGGGATGAAACGCTGCCGCTGGATATATCGAGCACGGTTGATCACAACACAAACGCTCCTGCGATCCCCGCCAAAATGGCAAGAAATGGTAAGCTCAGATCCGCATGGCTACATTGCAACCGAACCGCTTGACCACCATCTCGACCGAACTGGCGGAATTCGACCACGCGTCCGACAAAATACGTTCGACGAGGGATGCGCTGCACAATGCCCCGGCCACGGGCAGCGCTACGAGGGAAAGCGGGCCCTTCGATGTGTCACTTTCAGCGCCCGTGAAAGTGACACCTCCCAGGGCCCACTTAAAGAGCACCAGAAAGGCTCCAAGAAGGCCCCGAGAAGGCCCCAGGGCGGCACCAAGAGGGCTCCCAGAGGGACCCAAGAGAGGCCCCAAGAAGGGCCCAAGAGGGCCCTCCGCGGTGTCACTTTCAACGCCCGTGAAAATGACACCTCCCAGGGCCCACTTAGGGCCTCAGAAAAGCTCTAAGAAGGCCCCGAAAGGGCCATAGAGAGCCGCCCTGGGTTCAACTCCGCGTGGCGGAGTTGGAAGCGATAACTTCAATACCCTACTGGAGGCCTCTTAGGGGCCCTAAGACGGCACTGAAGAACCCCATCGGGGCTTTTTCAAAGGCAGAGGAGGGCGCAAAAAGGGGCCTCAGTGAGCCCCTGGTCTAACTCCACCTGGCGGAATTGGAAGCGATATCGCCCGGCGCCTTCATGGAGCCGCTCGGAGCTTCCAAGACGGCTCCAGAAGGCCCCAGGAGGGCCCCAAGAGGATCGAACGACGATTCCTGGAAGTGCACCAGTGAGACCCTTGTTGACCTCCGCCTGGCGGAGTTGGAAGCGACAATTTCCAGTGCCCTCTTGGGGCCTCTGGGGGGCCCCTCAGAAAGCTTTGGGGAGCACAGTGAAGGCCTTCGCAGGGCCGCGTGAGAGCCGTACCAGGGCCGCATGTGTGCGCGGATGGGGGCGACGAGTGCTGACGCTGACGAATATGAGAATGATGAGGGCGATCAAGGCTGGCCCGAAACAAATCCTGGCGCCATTGCAGGCCGCCGATTATCGGCCACGCCGCCAGGACGACGCCAAGCAACAAAACGACACCAACCAACAAACCGACACCAACCAACAAACCAACAAATCGACACCGGCCAACAAAAGGACACCAAGCAACAAAACGACACCAAGCAACAAAACGACACCAACCAACGAAACGACACCAACCAACAAAACGGCACGAATCAACAAAACGGCACTGACCAACCAAACGACAAATCACTTCACGACACCAATGAACAACACGAAATCCACCGACCGCCAACCAAGCATAAAATCAACCGACACAACGAAACCAACCCATAGAGCCAGACCAACCACTGGATTCGTGAGTCGGGGTAGTCATGGAAGTGAGCCGCTGCAGCCCGCGGAAGCCATTAACAGTGACCAGAGCACCGCAATGCAGCAACGTCCCCGGGCGGCGGCGGGAGTCTTGGATCTCCCGCGGGACTGGAGCGTAGCGAGTTCGTCCTGGGTCCGGTTTAGTGAAGTGAAGAATTTCGGGGTGCTTGCATGGCAAAAACCTTCACTTCACTAATCTGGGGCCCCTGGAGCCCCAGGGCGTTTCAGGTCCCCTCGCTGTCTGGGTAGTCCAGGGGGCGCAGTGGCGGCTTACCAGAGGCCCTGTTCCCTAGCCTCACTTGCTTTCACCCGTGGTGCTCGACGGCCGTCTCGGAGCTGTCTTGTGGCGGTCTGGGGCAATCCCGAAGCCTCTTGGAGCCATCCCAAGGCCCCAAGGCGCCACCAATGGGGGCCCCAAGAGAGCTCCCAGAGGGCCCCGAAAGGCCTACAACAGATTGCACGTTCGCGCGAATTCTTTGTACCACTTTGGGGGGTCCCTCTTGGGGCCCTCGGGGAACGTTCTTGAGGCCCTCCGAGGGCCAACTGGGGCCCCGGGAAGGCCCCAAGAACGCTCCCAGAGGGCCCCAAGAATGCTCCAAGAGGGCCCCAAGAGGACCCCCACAAGGGACAAAAACTATGTGCATGAGGGTGCAACTTACTCGGCGCCTCTTGGGGCGCTCTTGGAGCCGTGCTGGGCGCCACTCGTGGACGACATGGGCTGGGCGACGGCATGTGGACCCTGTCGCTTGGGCCATCGGGGGTGCTCCCCAATGGGGCCACGAAGCTTGTGAGCGTATGACGGAATGGGCTGGGCGGCGGCCTGTGGGCCCTGCCTGTGGGGCCGTCGGTGTAGCTCCCCGTGGGGCCACGAAGCGTGTGAAACGTATGCCGAAATATGCTGGGCGGCGGCCTGGGAAACCTGCCGCTGGGACCTTTTTTTGGTGGAGCTGCCTATAGGGGCACGAAATGTTTGAGGGTGTCATCAATGTGGCGTGGGCGACGGCATGTGGACCTTGCCGCCGGGACCTCCGATGAGCTCCTCATGGGGACACGAAGCGTCTGAGGGGCGTGCCGACATGGGCTGGGCGGCGCACTAAGGACCCTGC